CAGCTGGGGCCATTTTTAGTGGCCTAAAGCTTTTTGATGAGCTGCATGCAGAGCTCAAAGTGAGGTCGGCAAGCAGCTCTTTTAATGGGGATTTAAATCCCCATAGACAGCAATGTAGTGTGAGCAGGGTTAAATACCTGCTCACACTAGGAAACCCAGGTATCATTAGAAACCTGGGGGTCCCCTCTGTCAGCTGGGGCCATTTTTAGTGGCCCCAGACTTTTTGATGAGCTGCATGCAGTGCTGAAAGTCAGTACTGCATGTAGCCCTTTAAATCCACAAAGAACACTGCAGCTGAGCGATCAAGCTCAGCTACAGTCATTCTCTCAAGTGATCTGGTGCTTGGGAGACCCCCAGGGTCTGAACAGACCCTGGAGGGTCACCCTCTATGCCCCAATGCCATTCTGATCAGTGCTGGGCATTTTCAGTTGCCCAGCACAGATCCATTGCATTGGGCATAATGTCTTCAATGTAAGACATGGGAGACTGCAATACTGAAAATAGCCAGTAGATGGCAGCAACATACCACTGTGTTTTAGTTTAAAATCCCTTTACTAATATCAGTACTTAATCCTTTGGATTACAATTAAGGATTATTATTCGGTTTAGCATAAGTACTAGATTTATTATCAGGTTTATTATTGGGTTTATGTTTAAGATTAGGTTTATAATTAATTGTAGTATTGGGATTATGTTTCAAATTAGGATTCAGATTATGGTTCAGATTAGGATTAGCAAGGATATAGCAAGGGAATTCCTATGCTGACACCAGCATGAGGAATCATTTTAACACTATTGCTAAAGTTAGGATTGAGATTAGGATTGAGGTTATAATTAGGGTTACACATGGGATTATATTATGGGTTAGGATTGTGGTAAGGGTTAATTATTAGATAGAGGGCTAGATTTGGGATTAGGATTTGGTTTAGAATTAGGGATTGGTTTAGGATTAGGGATTTAGATTGGGATTAAGATTAAGATCGCTACTTTCCAAAGATATACATATGGGGTATATTTGTACTGAAAAGATGTTGCTGAGTACAGCTAAAATAATTTTATGACAGTGGGACACACGAGATTTAAAACAATAAGCATAAAAAATACTGTGTATGTAAAAATGTTAAAATAAAAATGAATATCACAAACTTTGAAACAAAATGGTAACAAAATGTCACTTCAATAAAACTTATAATATTTTATGTGAGGGTCCCCATGGTGTCCACTTTGGTAAATGGTATGCATTGGTGGCATAATTTAAATATCTGAGCGACTGAAATGCCCCAAAATGAAACAATGACCGTTCGTCATTTTGCCATTTAAAAAAAACTGTAATGGACCGGGTATGATTCTAGCCCTGTGTTTCTTCACAAAAACCTGGTTAAGGTGTAAAAAGGGTGTCATTTTGTACTCAGGAAATATAGCTGAGAATAATTTAGTAATTTAATTTACAGTAACATATATCAAGTTCCCAAAATTAACCACTAAAATACATGTGTATAAAAATGCAAAAATAAAACAATATGATAGAATTTGAAATAAATTGGTGCTAACATAACTGTATAATAAAGCTCAAAATATACCATATGACATAACCCGTGGTGTCTACTTTCACAAATGGTATGCATTTATGGGGTAATTTTAACTGTCAAACTGCTACAATGCCCTAAAATGTGATATAGGCACACCAAATCCATTTATCAAAATTCTAATTGTAAAAACTGTAATGGTCAGCACTCTTAAGGCACTGTAGCTTCACAGGATAGTGGCAAAGACATACATTGGGGGTATTGCTTTATTCAGAAGAGTTTCCTGAGCATAATTATGGGGTTTTGATTACAGTTGCACATACCAGACTTTAAAAATGACCCCAAAAAATGTAACGTGTATGTAAAAAAATGCCAAAAAAAAATATTTTACCACAAAATTTGACATAAACTGGTGAAAAAATGGCATCACGTTAAGGCACAATATACACCATATGAGATACACTGTAGTGTCTACTTTCACCAGTGATGGGTCATTGAGGGATAAATTCAACAGTTAAACTGCTACAATGCCCCAAAATGAGACTTGCCCCATCAAATTCATCTATCAAAATTATCACTGTGAAAACTGAAATGGTCAGGTCTCTTTTATGACACTGTAACTTCACAGGATAGTGGCAAAGGCATAGATTGGGGGGTATTGTTTTACTCAGTTGATATGGCTGAAAACAATATGGGGTTTTCTACAGCAGTAGAATATATCAGCTTTATGAAATACTTATTAAAAATCCTTGTTTTATGTGTGTATTTTAGAAATCTGAAAAAAACCCAAATTTTACTACACTATTTAGCAGAGATTGGCGGCGAAATGGCTATGTAAAAAGTGTCAGAATACCCTTTGGTAAATAGCCTGTGATGTGTGCTTTATATAAATATATACTTTTGTGCGACAATTTTGCTTTCTGTGATGGCTATTAAGCTTACAAGACAAACATGCCAAATTCTAAAATAGCTCCACATTAAAAAAAATTTTTACTCCTTGTATTTTGTGACCTGTAACTTTCAAAATAAGTTGAAATCCTAGACATATTATGTACTCTGAAAATCAGAACAACTAACTGAATATTGTTTTAATTACTTTACTTAAGCTGCATTTATTATACACACGTTATTATTGCATAAACTGTGAAAAAACCCCACTTATTATGCATTTTCTTTTTGGATTTTTTTTTAATAATAAATAAGAATTTATATATGTGTATGTCACATCCAATTAAAGCCCTTTTTGTCCTTTAAAAAACGATATATAGCATGTGTTGGTGCAATAAATAAGAAAAATGCAAACGGAGGCTGAACACAAACAGCAAAAAATGCTTGTGTCCTTAACCCCATAAGGACCAAACTTCTGGAATAAAAAGGGAATCATGACATGTCACACATGTCATGTGTCCTTAACGGGTTAAGGGTAAGTCCAGTTTTTGAAGCTGCGTCCTTAAGGGGTTGAGGACTCAGCCAAATGTACATGTTGTGATCAAAACAAAACGTAAACAAAAAATGGAATTTGCGCTATATGTCTGTTCAGGCGTAATTCACCCAGGGATGGACTGACAGCCTTCTGTATGTGTGTGTGGGGCAATGTGTGTATGGGGAGGGCAGTGTGTGGGGGCAATGTATGTATGTGTATGGTGTGTGTGGGGGCAGTGTATGTGTGCAGGCTGTGTGTGTGTGTGTGTGTATGGTGTGTGTGGGGGCAGTGTATGTGTGTGGGGGGGCAGTGTATGTATGTGTGGGACAATGTGTGTGTGTGTGTGGGGTGGGCAGTGTCTGTGTGTGTATATATGGGTGGGCAGTGTATGCAGTGTGTGTGTATATATATGGGTGGGCAGTGTGTGTGTGTGTATATGGGTGGGCAGTGTGTGTGTATATATGGGTGGGCAGTATATGCAGTATATGTGTATATATGGGTGGGCAGTGTGTGTGTGTATATATATATATATGGGTGGGCAGTGTATGCAGTGTATGTGAATATATGGGTGGGCAGTGTGTGTATGTAAATGGGTGGGCAGTGTATGCAGTGTGTGTGTATATATGAGTGGGCAGTGTATGCAGTGTGTGTATATATATATGAGTGGGCAGTGTATGCAGTGTGTGTGTATATATATGGGTGGGCAGTGTGCACATCGTGTGTGTATATATAGGTGGGCAGTGTGTGCGTGCATATATGGGTGGACAGTGTATGCAGTGTGTGTGTATATGGGTGGGCAGTGTGTGTGTGTGTGTGTGTGTGTGTGTATCTATGGGTGGGCAGTGTATGCAGTGTGTGTGTGTGTGTGTGTATCTATGGGTGGGCAGTGTGTGTGTATCTATGGGTGGGCAGTGTATGCAGTGTGTGTAAATTTATGGGTTGAGCAGTGTATGCAGTGTGTGTGTATATGGGTGGGCAGTGTGTGTGTGTGTGTATATAAGGGTGGGCAGTGTATGCAGTGTGTGTGTATATATGTGGGTGGGCAGTGTGTGTATATATGGTTGGGCAGTGTATACAGTGTGTGTGTGTAAATATGGTTGGGCAGTGTATGCAGTGTGTGTGTGTGTATGGTTGGGCAGTGTATGCAGTGTGTGTGTATATATGGGTGGGCAGTGTGTGTGTGTGTGTATATTTATGGGTTGAGCAGTGTATGCAGTGTGTGTGTATATATATATATATATATATATATATATGGGTGGGCAGTGTGTGCAGTGTGTGTGTGTGTGTGTGTGTGTGTGTGTATGGGTGGGCGGTGTATGCAGTGTGTGTATATATGGGTGGGCAGTGTGTGTATCTATGGGTGGGTAGTGTATGTGTATATATGGGTGGGGGGCAGTGTGTGCAGTGTGTGTATATGGGTGGGCAATGTATATATGGGTGGGCAGTGTGTGTGTATATATGGGTGGGCAGTGTGTGTGTATATATATATGAGTGGGCAGTGTGTGTATATATAGGTGGGCAGTGTGTATATATATATATATATATATATGTGGGCAGTGTATGTATATGGGTGGGCAGTGTGTGTGTGTATATATGTATGTGGGCAGTGTATGTATATGGGTGGGCAGTGTGTATGTATATGTATATATATATATATATATATATATATATATATGGGAGGGCAGTGTGTATATATATATATATATATATATATATATATACACACTGCCCACACATATACATACACTGCCCACATATATATATATATATATATATATATATATATAAATATATATACATATATATATACACACACTGCCCACTCATATATATATACACACACACTGCCCACCCATATATACACACACACTGCAGTGTATATATATATATATATATATATATATATATGGGTGGGCAGTGTATGAATATGGGTGGGCAGTGTATGTATGTATATATATATATATATATATATATATATATATGGGTGGGCAGTGTATATATATATATAGGTGGGCAGTGTATATATATATATATATATATATGGGTGGGCAGTGTATGAATATGGGTGGGCAGTGTAGCAGTGTATGTATGTATATATATATATACATACATACATACACTGCCCACCCATATTCATATATATATATATATATATATATATATAGTTGGGCAGTGTATATTTATATATGGTTGGGCAGTGTATATTTATATATGGGTGGGCAGTGTATGTATATGGGTGGGCAGTGCATGTATATGGGTGGGGGGAAGTGTGTATGTGTGTATATATGGGGGGCAATGTATGTATATGGTTGGGCAGTGTATATATATATATATATATATATGGGTGGGCATTGTATATATATATATATATATATATATATATATATGGGTGGGCAGTGTGTATATATATATATATATATATATATATATATATATCTATATATATATAGGTGGGTAGTGCATGTATATGGTTGGGCAGTGTATATATATATATGGGTGGGCAGTTTATGTATATGGGTGGGCAGTGTATATATATCTATGGGTGGGCAATTTATGTATATGGGTGGGCAGTGTATATATATATATGGCTGGGCAATTTATGTATTTGTTTTTATCTCTTGCATATGAGACGGTTCATAAGAAAGATAGAAAGCAAGATTACTGTTTCGGACCAAGTACCACGGACATTGCCAGATAAGACTTTCTCTTTTTATCCATTGATTTTATCTGGACTTTTAGTATCATTCAAAGTTTTATCCAAGCGCAGCCCTTTTCTTGTATTTTTTACTTTTTTGTGACACTTTAATAGGGGCTGCATTTTGTCACTCCGGCTGTTAGGAGCCTGGGCCGCCTTTGCTGCATATATATATGCAGCAAAGGCGGCTTTCTAATCGTTAGGCAGACTGACCTGTTGGGTCCTCGGTCTATGACCGAGGGTCCGACACCAGGAGGGGGCCCAGCGGCTTGCCCTGTATGCCACCGAGTGCGGAGCTGCAGACTATGTGATGTCCCCCTACCTCAACCTGTCCCCCACAGCCTGCCCCATCCCTTACATCCTGCCCACCCACACAAAGTGTCCCACACAGCCTTGCCCATCCCTTACAGCCCCTTTCCCCACACCCTGACCCTCACAGCCTGCACCCCCACACCCTGCCCCATCCCTCACAGCCTGCCCCCACACCATATATTTTACACTCTGCCCCCACAGCTTGCACTCCCACACCCAGTCTGCTCCCGCACACCATGTCCCTCACAGCCTACCCCCTTAGAGCCTGCGCCCTCCACAGCCAGTCCCCCCACACGCTACAATCCCACAACTTGCACCCCCCACAGCCATGCTCCCCCACACCTGCATGCCCACAGCCTGCCCCTCCACACCCTGATCCCACACAGCCTGCAACCCCACAGTGTCACCCATACAGCCTGCCCCCCCACGACCTTCCTGCACACTTCCCTCCCCATACTGTCACTTTCCTACACACTTCTCCCTTACATTGTCACCTTCCTACACACTGCCCCCCTATACTGTCACCTTCCTACACACTGTCCCTCTATACTGTCACCTTCCTACACACTAACCCCCCCCTCCACCTTCCTTGGGCCAGCCCTGAATATATATGTATGCAGTTGTCAAATATGAATATGTTTTAGGCCTGTGGACCTTTTAGGTTTGGGGAGCAGGGGGCACCTTACAATTTTGTGCCTACAGGATACTAACAGGTAAATCAAATCCTGCTCATATTCCCAAAGTAGGTTAAAAATGCATTGAGGGCACACACTAACATTAACGTAAAGAACTGTGGCATAACTGATGTAGAGAGGGTTCTGGTGCAAGAAATGTTTTGGGGCCCCCTCTAGCACAAGGGTGGCCAAAAGGTAAATCCATCTGTCATACAACTCCCACAATGCTACACCAGCAGGGGGTGTATTATTTGCCCATCTTTGCAAGGTTGTATTTGTAAGTAGTGTTTGGGCATTTTAATGTAAGCATGTTTTTGTTTGTGTATGTGCATGTAGGGGTGAATTTATATGTACTGTTGCCATTGGAATCAAGAGGTCCAGTACTGGTGTTTGAATAAATGGATGTGTTTGTATATAATTTTGGTGTTTGACTGCAGGGGTGTGTTATTATGTAATGTTTGCTAGAGTGTGTTTTCATGTAGTGTTATTAGAAATATAGAAGGTGATGGCAGATAAGAACAATTCAGCCCATCTAGTCTGCCCAATTTTCTAAATACTTTCATTAGTCCCTGACCTTATGTTATAGAATAGTTAAGATAACCTTATGCCTATCCCACGCATGCTTAAACTCCTGTACTGTGTTAACATCTACCACTTCAGCTGGAAGGCCATCCCATGCATCCACTACCCTCTCGGTAAAGTAATACTTCCTGATATTATATTTAAACCTTTGCCCCTCTAATTTAAGACTACGTCCTCTTGTTGTGGTAGTTTTTCTTCTTTTAAATATAGTCTCCTCCTTTACTGTGTTGATTCCTTTTATGTGTTTAAATGTTTCTATCATATCACCCCTGTCTCGTCTTTCCTCCAAGCTATACATGTTAAGTTCCTTTAACCTATCCTTCAATCCATGAACAAGTTTAGTAGCCCTTCTCTCAACTCTCGCTAAAGTATCAATATCCTTCTGGAGATACAGTCTCCAGTACTGCGTACAATACTGCAAGTGAGGTCTCACAGTGTTCTGTACAATGGCATGAGCACTTCCCTCTTTCTACTGCTAATACCTCTCCCTATGCAACCAAGCATTCTGCCAGCATTTCCTGCTGCTCTATTACATTGTCTGCCTACCTTTCAGTCATCAGAAATAATCACCCCTAAATCCCTTTCCTCAGATGCTGAGGTTAGGACTCTATCAAATATTCTGTACTCTGCCCTTGGGTTTTTACATCCAAGATGCATTATCTTGCACTTATCCACATTAAAGTTGCTACAACTCTGACCATGTTTCTAGCTTACCTAAATCATTTGGCTTATCCCCCTTGGAACATCAACCCTGTTACATATCTTAGTGTCACCATCAAGACCTTCTGCAATATCACTAACAAAAATATTAAAGAGAATGGGTCCAAGTACAGATCCCTGAGGTACCCCACTAGTGACAAGCCCATGCTTTGAATATACTCCATTGACTACAATCCTCTGTTGCCTGTCACTCAGCCACTGCCTTACCCATTCAACAATATTAGAATAGAAACTTAAAAATTGAAGTTTATTGCCTTCTTCCCAAACCTTCCATCACAGCCAAGGAGTACATGAGCATTTTGGGCTCGATAACCCCAACTATAGGAAAAGTCCGCTGGGCTCAATGGAACGCAAGAATAATTAAATCAAATTTCCTGAATCAGTTCAACCACTATCGCTGCATACTAGAAACGATGATTCAAATTCCCCAAGTTGTAAAAGATTAATTAGTATGATGGCTACAGCGAGACAATCTACGAAGAGGGTTTCCCATACAAGAACCTCCTTGGCAAATTATCACTACAGATGTGAGCATGATGGGATGGGTTGCTCACACAGAATCAATATGGATTCAAGGCACTTGGAACCCATCAGAGAAATGCCTTCACTCAAACCTGCGGGAAATGAGGACCATATACATTGCAATATGGAAACTCCACAGAACCCACAAGAGTCCTTAGCTCTCTATACGTACGGACAACAGGGCAGTGACCGCTTATATAAATCACCAAGGAGGCACAAGAAGCAACTTTATAGTGATGAGAAATAACTCCACTGATGTCCTGGGTGCAGGCTCATATCAAAGGGATGAAAGCGATCTACCTCCCAGGGATGGAAAACATTCTTGCAGATTTGCTCAGCAGAACTTGCATATTACCAGGCGAGTGGAGCTTGAATCCCAGAGTTTTTCAGGTTCTGACGAAGAGGTGGGGCATACCCCAGGTAGACCTAATGGCCAGCAGACGGAATGCTCAGGTGGCAAGCTACTTTCCCCTCTCCAGGGACCCTCTAGCTTTGGGTCAAGATGCTCTTTCCCATTCTTGGAACTGCCTCTGTTTCCCTGGGTACTGAGAAAAATCTGGAAAGAAGGGAAGAAGGTGATAGCCATTATTCCGATCTGGCCCAGGAGACCTTGGTATTCCCTTCTACTGAGAATGTCTATGACCCATCTTTGGCTACTGCCTATCTACCCAGACCTTCTAATCCAGGGTCCAGTGACTCACCCCAACCCATCCATCTGGAACCTGGGGGCCTGGCTGTTTAAAGGAGATCACTCCTTGCCCAGGGCCTATTCGAAGCAGTGATTGATACTCTCCTAATACAAGGAAACAATCCACATCTTTCTGTTATTACAGGATTTGGGAAATCTTTCAAAAATGAGCAGCAACAAAATCTTTTGATTCTCAATACCCTACTCACCTCCATGTTTTGGAATTTCTACAGGCAGGCCTGGACAAAGGTCTCAGCCTCAGCACCTTAAAGGTGCAGTCCTCAGCTATATCTCCCCTTTGTAATACCTCATGGGCATCTTACCCTCTCATCTCAAGGTTCTTTAAGGCAGCTTTGCACTTATGCCCTCCAGCCAGAAACACAGTTCCTCCATGGGATTTGCCAATGGTCCTGAATCCTTTAACATAATTTCCCTAGGCACCACTGCAGGATATCTCTATTCATTGTCTCACTTATAAAACAGTGTTCCTGGTGGCGGTCTCCACAGCCAAGAGGATTTTGGAACTTCAGGCATTCTGAGTCACACACTCATATATTTTATGATCGAGTGATCCTAAGACTGAGTGAAGACTTCCTTCCAAAAGACGGATCTAGGTTTCATCTGCTCCAGAAAGTGGTTCTTCCCTTCTTCTGTTCCTACTGGTCCTCTTCTGAGGAAGAGCGATACCATGAACTCGATGTGAGAGAACTTTTGGTCAAGTACCTATCTGTTACTTCTGACTTCAGAAAAACCAAAAAGTTATTTGTCCTTCCTTCTGGCCTTCGTAAGGGAGAAATGGCCTCTTTCTCTACCTTAAGGAGATGGATAGCTTCTGTCATAATAGACTCCTACCTGCGGAACAAGCTGACTCCTCCAGCCAAGATTAGAGCTCATCCCACCAGACCCCCCACCTACATCTTGGGCTAATTGGGCAGAGGTTCCTCCGG